ACCAACTAAAGAGTGCGGCCAAAGGACAGTCCAACCAGAGTTGGACCTCAGCCAGTAGCACGAGGTGCTTGCGTCACTGTCTGCCACTTCTTGGTAATTGCCTTGTGGATTATAAATGGAGTTAACCGAAACACAAGCCACACGTTTACAAGTCTATTAGCGAGCACTTAAAAATTATACTTAAAGACCATTAGGATGAATTTAATACGCATGGGGTTAAAATTGTCTAAAATAGTTGTGTTGTTATAAGTTTTTTTTAATCAAAATCTAAAATTCAAAAATAATTTAAAAACTAACAAATCGAAAAAACTAAACAAAACTTAACTCATTTGTTTACCTAAACCGTAGAAAAATATTTGCAGATAAATAAAAGCTCGAGCACAAAACTTTTGACTGAAAAACAGTTTCAAAAGTTAATTTCAACAGAAATTTGACCTTTTCAAATATACAGGCATTTTTTTTCAATAGCTGCCAGGCAGCTGTTGTCAGGGTCAGGTCATAAAGGTTCAGGCTTGGGGTTTGTTTAGGCTGTCTAAGGGCTTCGTGGCAAATAATAAACAAAATTAATTACACTCCAAATTAAATTACGAGCGGCCGCTTTTAACGACTGTCAATAAAACGCTTTTCACTGCACAAAATAAGTTTTCGTTATTCTTCCCTGCTGCTATTCGATTTCTATGCGCTTTGATCCATTTACATTGGCATTTTGTGTACATGCTACGGAATGTCCTTTGTCTTGTCAGGACTCGCAAATTTAATAGGTATGCCAAAAGACTGAATATATAGCGTTCCAAGTAAACATTGGAATTCCAACAGAGCTCATTTATTGGATATTATAGAGACGCTACTAAGTAGTTTACATTAAAACCTGATGATGATGCAGCATTAACTATATTTGACCACAACCCCAATTGAATGTTGTACAAATTTGCAAAGACAACAAATTGCTGGCTAATATAACGCAGGAAATGCGAAATTATTGGATATTACGCTGCCAAAAAGCTGGAAACATCAGCAATAACCCAACCCCATCCAACTCAAACCAGGCCAAGCTAAGCTAAGCCACCCAAGCCCATCACAGCCGGAGCCAACATTTACCCACAATAACGTGGCCCATTTTGCATGGTTTGCAATTAAAACGAGCCGCGCAAATGGAAAAACAATGTACTCCGGAGCTAGAAGCATTAAGCGCCACCAATATATGAGAGAGAAACGCAGTTGTGGCAAGCCGCAAGCGTTTAATTTGCGTTTTTAAAGCCAGGCAAACTGGTATCAAAGGGGGTACAGCAATAGTACGTACCAAGCGGAAACAGCAATGCCAAACAATAAAAATTAATATCAAAACTTTGTCTGGCTTCTGAAAAGTTCAGAGAGCTAATGAATTTGTAGGAATTATAGTAGCACTTTAAATGACCAATTGGAGATGGAGTAGAAGTAGGATTCAGTGAGCTGAGCTAAGTAAAAGATGCCAATTCCCTTTAGTATCAGGTCATAAATCAATACGCAGTGAATAATAAAACTGAAGGAAAAAATCCAAATAAGGCTTCTCAGCGAGAATATACCCTGTCTGAATCACAAGAAGAAACATATAAAGGCGAAAACTCTGCTTGTAAATAGTAAAAGAGTTTGCTTAATAAATTTTTTAATGTTTACATGTGTGAGCTGAAAATCGAAATTCTTGAAAATGTAATTTTAAACATGCTTTTCTTTCTTGACTTTGTACACTGGTTTAGTCAGAAGACCATTAAGCTGTTTATATCGAAACAGGGTATTGGGAGTAAAAGACTTGAAATACACTTGTTCACAAGTTTTTCTGCTTAGCATAAGATTTATGTGCCGCTAAGGCATATGAAAATGCCGCTAAAACATATTGAAATTATCAGATGAACGAATTGTCAAATAGCTTATAGACGCATGGGGAAAAGAAAAGCAACACAATGTACAACAAATGTTGGGCAAGCAACTTGTCAAGGGCGTTGGTTTGCGATAACACACGCAAAATATTTTAATTGCGCATACGCCATGGGCGCCGCATTCGAGTTGAATTATTTTGGCGGCCATTAAACAAATGTGTCAAAGGCTACACGACGATAAAAACATTTTGCCGGCAATTTATTTATCGTCGATTTTCATTTGTTTCATTTCGTTTTATTTTCGGGCTTTTGTTGCTCGTTTTATTTGCTCAAAGCGTTGAACAACGCCTTGACTTAACTCCGACCCGTGGACTCGTCGCCCACGTCAGATGTCGATATGCGATTTGGACACGCACCATTTGCCGGCTAAAGTCAACACACGAGTGGGGAACGTGGGGGAGGAAGTGACAAATTTATAGGCTCAGTTGGGGTATAAGCCATGTCGCGTCGGCTTATCCTTATCGCCGTAGGAATTTAAAGACATTTTGCGGCATAAATAAAATTCAATTAAAATTCCAACCCCCTTGGGATGTCAAGGTGAAGCTGATTATTTGTTATTGTTTGTCATGCCAAATGCGGCAATCGAAAAAGTTAAAGCCAATTCGCCCGCAAAGCCAGCGAACAGCTGATTTTTTGGCGGCTTTTCCAGCAACAGCAACTGGAATCCCGAACCGACTTCAGAGAGTAACAGTGTGGGAAATATTCGGATTAAGAGAACTACAGAGCGCTGTACACTGTGAGTTAACAGCGCAGTTCAATGTTAAGTCCGAGCCCTGTTTATTACAGCTGTCGCTTAGCAGTGGCATGTAATGGTCAATAGTGTCTCGCTCAAAGTGATGATGGGCTTGCAATTTGCCGGCAGTTTCATTAACTTATCTCTGTTTTCTCTCTCTCTCTTTGTCCCTCGCTTTTTATTGACGTTGTCAAAAGACAGTTGGAAGATTATCCCCTGGCCACGCCCATTGCGTCAGGTGTGCAGAGCATTGGAAATTTTAATTGCTTTGCTTTGCTTAGATCTTAGCCACTCCCTTAAGGAGCAGTCAGCCAACTTAGTAGTCGGTAACGTTATCAGAATTCATTAAAATCGTTGCGCAAAGGTGGCTGCAACATCCAAGCACACACCCATCCATTTCAACCACAGCCAGCCACTTTGTGAATATCTATTTTGCATATGCTCAGCTGAGATTTCGACTGTTTGGAGTGTTAGCAAAGCCCAACACAGCCAAAGACATGTTTGACAGGCTGTCGTCTCTGTCCCTGTTTGAAAAGGGTTGAAAGGCACTAATCAGGTGTTCTGGTCCCAGGTCTATTGAGGTTTGTGCGATGCGACAATCAAATTGACAGCTTGTAGACATAAGCCAAGGGACTCGACTCTGAGCTAATGATTAATCTCTTTGTAGACAATATATACGAATCATGTATTTTTATACTTGGATTTAATTAATACCTAATTAAACCCAAGTAGCCCAAGATGCACCAATGCGTTCTTAAATAGTCTTCGCCAATCCAGTTACTGTGAAAGGACTTTCCACTCGGCCATTACACAGATGTTGTGCCACAATTAGACATACTTGCACTATGCTTATCCACACCTTTGCATTATCTACCTGGCGCAAATTTCATCCAGCTGCCAGGCTGTCAGCTGTCTAATGCCCAACTTCCCCCCCCAGCTGGACACGTGTACAAGCTGTAGAGGAGCAGAATGTGGCGCTCGTGCGTCTGTGCTATAATTACGCATTGCTTTGGGAGGACCCCGGTAAAAGTTTATATAAGTGAGTAGGAGTACCAGCTAGAACGATGTGGCGACTGTCTGTACGTGGGTAGGGTGGTCAGCGGGCGGGTTTGCGTATGCCCTGCTTTCGTCTCATAATCAAAATATCACCCGTGACGTTATTTACATTGTTTTACATAAGCCGAGAAGACGACGTCGACGACAGCGTGCATGAGGGGAGCCGAGCAAAAATAACAGACAATGAGATTTTACAATGAATGTCACTCAGATGAGTGTATAATTAATTTCATTGGAACATGGCTAAAACATGGTGTTCTAAATGCGACCAGAGGCAGAGGGCATAAGGAATACTTTGGCTTGTCCTGCCAGTTGGCATGACATGCAGCAAGCGTGACAAATTGTTGCGACAGCCAACATTGCAAGTGTCACTATCAGCAATTGCTCAACATGAAAATAATATAAAATATATGAAATGTGACCGCATACGTGGAGCGGCTCACTTGTTAAATAAATCAATGCGAAACAATAACAGCCCGAAAAAAATGAACTTTTAATTGTGCGCGTACAATTTGTATTCTTTTATTCGTGTATGAAAAATTGTCATCTTTATGACAGGCCAACAAGCGCGACCGTAGCATCAAGCCGAATCGACTCCAATCCAAGCCTTACACATGATTTTATTTTATATTATTCATGTGTGCTTTTTTCGATTCTGATAAAATGGAATCCATAATTTTAAGCCCCGTATCATAGCGTACAAAGCGAATGCCATTTAAAAAGTCAACAGCTCAGAATTTGCGTTTCGCCGGTTCGCTCGATGAATTATTTAACAAGTTGAAAATATTTATCTTTCTTTCATGTTTAAGTGCTGGTTGCTGTTTGTGGATTGTCCGACGATAAAATTTTAAATGGCATATGCATAAAAGCATAAGAGACAATTGAATATCAAATATGAAACATTTTTTATACAATATTTACTTGGGGTATCATTTTCAAGCAACATCCTTTAAATAATACATCAGCTTCTAATATTCTTGTCGCTTTGACGCCTTTCTGTCGCTGCATTGCAAATGGAATAATAACAGATAAAACGTTTTAAGTTAAGGGTTCCTTACTAGGATATATCCTGTACTCAGCTATGTATAAATTATTTTTTATTTCTTGGATATTTGTAACTATATACATGTAATACCTGTGCTTTCTGTTAACTCCATGCATTGGAAAATTCTCGTGAAACTTATGTTCAAATAAAATAGGGTCTAAAATATCATTCGATGAAGAGTATGATCCCATAACCGAGGACATAGCTCTGACAATTTTTCTTAAAAATTGATTTGTCTGACAAATTTGTTTTTTTCAATTTCAATACTTTCCAAATATATCAAATTAAAATCACGGTTGACATTATGACATAACTTCGTTCGGGCTTTTTTCACTTAATCAAATTTTAGAGGGTATAAAAAACTTAACAGGACTCGAGATCCATTACTGGCCGTGGCTTGACGTTGCTTTCGTCTTAGCTGCAAATGCAATAAAATAGAAAGGTACATGAAATAACTCAAAGTATCAGAAATGCAGTTACACAAAAACACAAGGCATTACTCGGTCACTCCTCAGACCCCATCAGACAGTCAGGCCCCCGGCTGTTTCTCGGTGCCTGTGCATAGCGAATGAACGGAATGGCTTGTAATGCCAGGCAGGGGAATGGTAGAGATGCCGTTGAGGTAGCTCTGTGTTAAGCCTATCCAGGTAAACTAATCGAGTTTCTGTGGCTGACTTCCAACTAAATTAATTTATAATAAGCACAGCTTGATTAAAGTGCATTATGTCAGATGAAAGAGGCACCCCAAGTGCGGCATAAGCCAAGGGATTTCTGCTTAAGTTTATATGACAAAAGCATGAATATATAAAATAAAGGGCAAGAATGCGCAAGCTATTCTTATTAGAAAATGGCAACATTGTACAACGTTCTTATTGCATAAATTTTCATTAATTTAGTCTTCATTTTTTTTAGTTGAAAGTTTACTTTAACGGAAAAATGTGTACTGAAATGTACTTCTTTGTATAATGGGATATTTCAAACCCAAGAAATACCTTCCTGCTTAAAATATTTCCCTTAGTAATAACTGTTAGTGCTGTCTCGCTCTAGTCTACTTTCTTACTGAATCCGTTATACATTTTTTACTCCTACTCGTAAAATCCTGTCTATGTAACTTAAATTCATGAAAATCGCATAGAACGGCGATATTTTGTGAATCGCTCCTTTTCAACCTCACTCGCGTTTTCTCACTGTCTTACTCAATTTCACTTTCTCTTGCTCTCTCCCGGCATTTTAAAGTACTGGTGTAATACTTGTCAATTTATTGTAATTATAATGGGTGAGAGCACTCTTTCTTAAATTATATTACAACCGTTACGGTCCCTGCTTTAAAATTTGCCAAATGCTAAATAGGCTATATCAGTTGACCCACAATACACTCCAGGGACACACATCTCATTTGAAATAATTTTACATTCAAGGTAAGAGCCGCTTTGGGCTCTTTGACCCGCATCCAGCTTTGGGTCTGTCGGTTAGGCGTCGACCGCGTCATTGTCACTCAATTTGCTGGCCTGACATTTGAACTGTGAACTCGATACAGACATTTGCCACAAGAGTAACTGCTGTAGCCATAGATTTGACTGGGTCAGCAACAACAGCAACGACAACGGGCACAACAAGTGACCTTAAGGCGTTGGTGTGGTGCATAATTTGTAAATGTCTCAACATGAAATCAAGACAAAAACTGTTTTATACAAGCACTGCGAATAAAAAACATAAGAACTGAAACAGCTGACTGACTGGCAGCCATGCCAGACAATCTGGGACCAAAACGAAAAGAACAACAACAACAGCTAGGCGAACTGAGCAGAAGCAAACCAGAACAATTCTCTGGCCGGTTGCCTTACCAATGCTCAAGCCCAAAACACAATTGGGCCAAGTCCGGGGAAGCTGTTGACAATTTGAATGGCGCTGCCGGCAGAAGACCAAGAAGAAAAACAGGGCGAGTTCTCAAATCAAAGTTGCCGAGAGAACAAAACATGTAAAATATTTAACACAAAATGTTTTTTTCTGCTTTTTTCATTATATTCTTATATGTTACTACATACAAAAATTGCACAGGGCCAAGAAAAATGAGTTGTGTTGAGCGCCTGCTGAAAAATAATGAACGTCATGCGGCGTTGACGCCGGCGGCGACTGAGACAGCAGCAGAGACGTCGACGGCAACTGCGACGCTCTGATAAATTTGCCAAAAAATTTATAGGGGCAACAGTTGTTGGTGCCATAATAGCCTCAGGCTATAAATTTGACGACTCATGTGGATACGGATAAATATATATAAAAAATATATAAATAAATATATAACAGTATATGCATATATAGGAGTTGTCTGTGTGGGCGTGTCTACATGCCGGTCAGACGGTCAGCACTGAGAGAGTGAAAGAGTGTCAAGAAACTGGAATTAGCTCTGATTGAAGAGTTGCATTCAAAAATAAGATTTAGGATTCCGGGCAAGGCTTTCAAAGCACGCAAATTCCTTCAAACTGTGCCCCAAAGCTTTGCAGCAAGTCCCGAAATCAGCTAATTGCATGCATTTATTAGATGGCTAGAAACAAACAAACAAACAGTTTGCCTACTGCCAGTATCAACAGCTGGCACGAGAGGACCTGCTTGTTGGCCTCAATTGCCTGGCACTTATTGCCACCCATTAATTTGCAGTGTAAATTGTGTGTGCAGCTCGTGTGTTGCATACTTATTAGGGGCAGCATGCAGGCTGCCGCCTATGGGCGTGATGAAGCCATCATCAAAACAGCATTAACAACGCCAGCGAATTGGGTTAATTGCCATTGTGTATGACACTTGGCCATTCGCCATCTATCATACATGTGCGTGTGTGAGAGTGTGTGTTGAACAGTTTCATATATCGCCATAACATATCACACATCATCAGACGCAACAATTTGCATAAACTTTGTCTGCGCTGTAAAAACAAATGCCTTGGCATAATGGTTAATTTATTAGAGCTCCGAGTCTTTTGTCTTGGACGGGTTAACTATCTGTCGAGTTATGGCATTTTTATGCTGGTAAAGTCAACGCCAGTCTGCAGGCAATTACTCCAACTTTGAATTTTATTGCGGCTTTAAGATTTCGTCTCGTCTGCTCTCGTCCCGTTGTTAATAATGCTTTCTTTTACCCTACTTTTCCTGTAATATACTCTATATGTTGTCCACACTCATTCATTTCATTGATTGGGTTCTTTTATATATGTGTAATCTACACTCATATTTTATTGAATAATTCGTTTTATATATTTAAATAGAAAAATAACAGAAAACTTTATTAAAAATTGTATAATAATATTGAAAATAAGTAACAAATGTGTGATCTATATATATATCTATGATATTTTAGACCAATTAAAAGCAAAGAAACAAGAAAGTCAGAGCGTAAAACAGCATCATTTTTGAAAGGAAGACCATAGCATACAGCTTTAATAGGGTATTAAATCGTCGGCACTATAAAGTTAGCTGTGCTTTCTTGAGTTTACACTTGTTGTTGCACTTGATTTGATTTATGGCCATAGTTAGCATGTCTGTAGACACAACTCCTATTTCGGCTTTTGCCGCACCCCTTCTAGGCCGTTTCGAGAACTGTTTCGAGTCGCCTCGTCTGAGATCTGGCCGAGGTCGCACTGCCAATATGTTTGTCTCAACAAAAACTGACAAGTTGATGACTCGAGCGCAGTGACGCGTTGGACAAGCGGCAAAATGTGATATACCCAATGGGCCAGATGGAAGCCGGACTAATCAAAATGCTGTGAAATGGAAGTTTTATGGTCTCAGTGCAAGCGCTTTATAAGGTGAGCTTATGAGCGGTAGACATATAGGATGAACGTTATGACAGCTAGTTTATTGGACATTAAAAGAAATGACATGGTTGGCATGGGTCCTTAAATGATATTTTAGCCAAGAGCCAAAAAGAAGACTAAAAAAGTAATATGAATGACAGTATTAGAAAATTGTTATTTGTATGCATATATGCACAATATTTATAATTCATTTCTTCCATCTATTGCTTGCACTGCTTAAAGTTTTTGTTTGCAATTTAAAAAACAAAAACTTTGCAATATTCGACTCTCAGCTGCTGGACAATTGTTGTGTGGTATTTGTATGTGTGTAAACATCCTTTGCTTGATTTGTTTTCATACGTATTGCGACTTGTATGAAAATCATGACAAAATCTCGTTATGCATGCCACAGCCAGACAGGCTGACAGGATGGCAGGCAGAAAAATAGACAAACGGACGAATGGTCTCTGAGAGTGGACGTTGCCATTGTTCGTTCATGGTGTAACATAATACAATATAATATCATAGACTTATAGTCGCTCCTATTTGCATAGAATGCCATCCTCAGCCCAGATGGAATTGTTTTTTTTTTCTTGTGCAAAACCAGCCTGCAGCTGGGAATTAAGTTGGAAGCTGTTGTTGTCTGTACTTTGCTGGTTTCATTGTTGGTACGCGTTGTGATAAAAAAGAAGAATACAACATTTTATGAAATGGTTTTTTCAGTAGAAAAACTTTTTACATGTTTTAATTTTGGCTCTGAGTCGAAGTAAGGACTCATTGCACTTGGCCTTAGCAGATTAATCCCCAATCCAGATGAAATAAAAAAACTACATTTAATTAGTTACCATAATGAATGTTCGTGCCAATCTTGTTTTAAATTAAACAAATTTTAATGCAGAATTCCTTTTTGAACAGCATGCGAATTTGAGAAATTTAAAGAATCTAATTATTTACCAAAACTCTCGACTAACACAAAACTTTACTTATAAAAAACACACACAGATACACACATTCAAAGAGACAACTTTCATGCGGTATATTAGAACAGTAGTTGAGGGCTGCCTGCGAATACAAAATTAACAACATGTACGTACCGAAAGTGACTGCCATTAGTTAAATTTATGGTCGTTGCTAAGCAAATACAAACATTCATTGTCTGTACCCCCGTTCTCATTAAATATGCTCGCTCCAGTCTCAGGCGGACCCTTCTCCAAAAAATAAAAACCTCACACCCGTGGGTTGTGCTGTGCTCTGTAACTTTTTTGTAGCTCTTCTGCTTCCTTGAATATTGCTTTAAATTTGTTCCGACTATTGCAAAAATGTTAAACCAAATACTAAACGGAAATGTTTACTGAGGCTGGCTTTTGCAGTTTGCTTGCTGACCCCATGGTTCCGTCCGTTTGGCATATTATTTTGCGTTTAGGCTGAAGCTAACAGGCCCTCCTCCCCCCCCTTATGCACAACCACCTCACCCAGCATCCAACTGTAGTATGTTATTTGTGTGGGTTGTTACAAAAAAGACATAGAAAATTAAGATGTGTGCCAATGCTAGGGGTTGACCAACGGAATTGGTGAAGAAGGTTCGACTTGGCTAACAAATTGATTTAAACTAAGTTGATTTTTATTGATTGTACTCAATGAGCTCATCTCACTCAAGAAGCAGGGCAGTCAAACAGACCAGCAAATGGCAGTGAGTCCTGTGCGTAGGAATCGTTTTAGTTACTCGCAAAGGTAAACAGCATCGACGCATCGCGTAGCAATATTCAAATTAAAGTTGCCTTTTAGCCTGAAGTGTTAACCAAAGTGCTGGCAATGACGCGTCTCCTGTAAATGCCTTGCCTGTGCCATACACAAAGGCAGTTTTTTAAGGAACACCCCAACTCTCACACATGTCCAAAACAGGTCTCCTTAATAGCCTTACTGAGAGTCTATTAGCTATGTAGACACGCTGCAAAATATAAATTATTTATGTATGTATATATTTACTATTGCATCTCTTTCTGAAATTAAGAGCTTTAGTTATTTAAGACAATGCTATGCTCTTTCAAAAAATAAATATCGAAACATTACAAGTATGATATATCAGCATTTTACAGGGTATTTCGTTTGCGTCTAAAAGCCATTGGTTTTTGCTATCTTTCTGTTTTTTGCCGCTACGGAAAAGCGAAATCAACAAAATCATAATAAAAAGGCCATAACGGCGCTGTCAAATGGAAAACATCCTGAGCAAAAAGGGAATAGGGAGGGGCAGAGACAGGGAAAGAGAGAGAGAGAGAATTGAACTCAACTATGCACTGTCACAATGTTGCGGGGCCTTAATAAAAGACAAGTTGAAGACATGGCCAAGAAAAAAAAAGAAAAATTGAAATGCAAAAAGCGAAGAAAACAAACGTTTAGATAACCACAACAGCAGCGCGTCATGGACGCCGACAGGGATGACAATCATGGCGCACGAACCGGAAATAGACAAGGGAAAAACATCAGACCACCCCGGCCCCATTCTGCCCAGTATATAATGGCGGCTTAAATGTGGCATGTGCCATGTGGCATGTGTGCAGCTGTAGTTTAGCCTGGCCTCAAGTTCATTGCAAATAAAAATAAATATATCTGTTATTATTCCCTCTTTCAATTTATGCTGGGGCCAATGACGAAAATGCGCATTGTAATTTTGGTTATGGCTGCGGCGAAAATCCTGGAGTCAGCTCCATTTCCCATTCAAGACGTTTCGATTTGGGAGTAAACTTCAAATAAATTGTTATGGGCCGCTCAGGGCTATTAAAATGACAGCCAAATGACATTTGGAGTAATATAAGGAAGCATACTTTGACAGCGATTTAAAGGAATTATTGTATTTATGATATTCGATTTTAACTTAGTTACTAAATTAAATAGTGTACGCCTAATAATCATGGGTATAGAATTCACAACTTTTGTAGCGTTTATAAATTGGCCAGCTGCAGTCGTAGAATTTAACAACTTTCGAAAGTTGGCACATAAAAATAAATTTCGTTTTGTGTCTACGTCAATTGGCTCAACTGGTAGCAGTAAAGTACACTATTGAAAGTAAAGTACACTATTGAAGCTTAGCTTCATTTGCATTCGATAAATTCAGCAGACTTTATTTATTTTGTTCATGTTTTTCTTCAATTTTCAATGGCAAAACAATTGAATTGGTAATTGCTGAAACTTAACAAAATATGTTTGCACAATGATTTAAATAATGCAGGCATGCAATATGTGAATACAGTAAATATTCGCAGCAATTTTATAAAGCATCTTTAGAAATTGTTATTTTTCTTTATCCAATATTTACATACACGTCGTAAAATCACGTCGATTTGCGTTGTTGTAAACTCAAACAAGTCAATCACTCAGTCAAGAAATGGTACATAAACTCAAAAGTACGCCACATACTAGAAATGAATATTGAAAGCAGAGTTTCTAACTACTCAAGGCACACACAGACACACACACACACACACACACACAATGGCACACTCACTCAAACACACAATCTGCAATGCAATAAAATATCATAAAAATCCACAAACAATAAACCTGATCGACAACAACAATCAGAATAAGAGCAATCGCATATGTTCGACGCTGTTTACGCTGGTCATTATCGAGACTATGCACGGCTTAAATATACCCTGTAAATGTTAATATAGAACATACAATTTCGCTTGGCGTAGATTCTTAAATTAAAATACACACAAACTAGATGTTAGTTTATATTATTTACGAGCAGTCTTGCGTCTGGCACAAAACCTCCCGTTTTAGCTAAAATGTAGGGTACAAAAACGTGTACGCATATTTGGTTTATGGCTCTGACGAGACGATTGGGTCTTGGCCAAGGGCACGGGGTAATGCTAAAAATATAGTCGTACTTACATCCAAAAAGTATGAGTGGGGCCTGGGCTGGTAAATTAAGCATTTTATTAGCGCCACTCGGCTGAATTGAAATGTACACAGATGTATGTGCGCGTGTACATATATACTATATAAATATAAATATATGTATATATATATATATAGTATGTATATATGTATGTACTCATATTGAGATGTATGAAAGCACCCTAATGTGGCCAGCATGTGTGAAATATCAGCGACCAATTTATGGCGCTTGTGCGGCGCTGGCTTTTGTTTATAAATTGCTGCCAACACACACTTCACCCTCCTCCCCCTGACCTAACACACACACACTTCTACTAACCCAACACTCCGCTCGGCAGCGTCACCAAATTAAATTTAATGAGCAAACGCCACACAGCTGCCGCTTGGCCAAAAAGAAAAGGTTCACTCAGCAATGCGTCTAAATCAAATTAACATGCAGTGCGAATTGTCAGTGGTGGGCGGGATGCGAGAGGAGGGCGGGCTTGATAGGGAGCATTGGCTCCGTTTTATGCGCTCTGACGTGTCTCGCACATAATTCGCATAAATTGCTGTAATTGTGCCAAGCTGTGACGACGCCACGCCTACATGCAACACACTAATATATGAGCACGAGACGACAAAAGTCAAAAGCTGTAAGAAAAGGCAGAAAAATATGTTGCGCTCGGATATTTTATAGCGCCAGATTTTACAGGCAGGCAATAGAACCTTTTAAATATGTATTTTTTTTATTTAAAATGCCTCTGGTCTTTGGGTTTATTGAGCAGAAGCTGGTAGTTGGGATATAAACTGAACAGAGAATCATTTTATAAACATAAAAATAAATTATATAATAAATTATGGATATACGTAGAAGCCAGTTTTACAGCACCCTAGGAGAACCCTACACAACATTAAAATTTATATATATTTTTTAATATAGCCAACGAATTTGAATTTTTATTAAGGCAATTGAAAAACTGCGAATTTGTATAGAATCTCAAGCTTGATTGTCAATATCATGTATTATTTACTTTATCAACATTCCTAATTAACAGCCATTGGGAAATAAGTAGTAGGAAAACATTTTTGAGCGCGGTTTTCATTTAATTGCTTTCCTAATAAGCATTTAATCATAAACGGCAATCCTTCAACTGGCGCAGACCGACTGCTGGCCAAAAAAACAAAGAGATGGCCCCGGCTATTAGCCGAGAACATTTGTTGCCACCGCATGCCAAATTGGAAACAAAACTATAAATAATGCGTACAAAATATGGCGAGCCATAAGTAAATGCATAAATAGGCCACACCCAGTCAGGGTTGCCACACTCCATCAGCTGTTGAGCAAAACTCACAATCATAAATCAAAGCAAATAGCAACGATTAATTTCTAGCCCGTTCCGACAAAACAAACATAACCAGCAGCCGCCGGCACACGTATCTCAGCTGCCACGCCCTGCACTGTAGTTGGAGAGGAGCATGCGGGAGGGTCGTAAAGTTTCATTGTAGGCTGCCTCACAAATTAGGCGAATTAAAATGCTGCTAAAAGGTTGATGGCCAGGAGGCATTGGGAGGTAAATTATGCAACCCTCTGCACCGAAAGGCAGATGAAGAAAATAAACATATATATCAAATACGCCTGGCTGGAATGGGTGTCTATTAGATCTGTCGTTCCTAGAAAAGCCAGAAAGTCAAATGTAAGCAACGGCATAAACAGGTGTTGGCTGTGACGCATGACGCGCCTTGAGGCAGTAAATTTAGCCCAAAAATAGGCAGCAGCATTTCACCTCGCCCTCTCGACAATAATGATGAATGAGACGAGTTCGTTGTCAAGCAAATTTCTAGGGTGTTCATGAGCAGAGTAGGCAGCTTCAGGCATTTCAGCCAGAATTTAAGAGTGGGCGAACATCAATTCATAGCTGATATATATATCACCATAAGATACCCTGTACTCAGTTATAGAAAGCGGATCTAAGAATGTCACATCTGCATGCGAACACTTGATACAAACAGTTATAAAAGTATACATACGAGCTCTAGGCTGTAAATTGCCCTACTATCAAGTATGGCAAAATGGTGACAATATAGTCAATTCTGCTATTGAATGAGTTTTTAGAATATCTCGGATCAAAATGAGAAAGTGGGTGACGGCTAGAACATGACTGTTATTGAAATTAATCTTGAACGTAATATAGTATAATCGTGTGCGGTTAAAAAATACTGGAAACATATTAGGAGTTTATTCATGGATTAGTTGTCTTTAAAGATTGACAGAATTTAACTTCTGGCCTTTAGCTATTTTTTCTTTATTGAATACGAAAATTAGGTTGACTTTTATAGACGCAACTTACATGCTGGGTGGGTACCAAAAGCGGCAATAATTATGTCGTCGCACTTAGCTATATGAAGTGGTGTGCTTGATTAATGAAATAGCTCGTATGACATCCAGTCCTAAACTAATTAGAATTACACAGCTCACATCTATTTTATGACATCGTTTTCGACTTTCACTTCGTCTATTGAGTTTTTGAACCGTCTGTATGTATGAATGTATAGTTATTACGATTCCAAAGGCTGTCGAAACTGTCACATTCGAAGCTTTGCCGAGCTCACATTGCGTTGTGGCTGTCAGTGTCCATTATGTCGTACTGCCTCAAAGTTCTGCTGAGACTACTAAGCATATTGACCAAAGTTTTCGCGATCAGTGAATTTTCTCATGATCGCGAACTGAACAAAATGGTTGGCTCCCGTTTTTGGCATAGCTATATGAAGATATTACACCGAATCTTCATCTGGCCAATTAGTTTGTTCATTTTTGGGTATTTAATCACAGAACGCGTCACAAACGAATTAAGTTTTCAACGCATTGTCATACGATTGACTATGTCCATAATTGCCGTACGATATGCTAGCATAGCCTTTAAGGGCTGGCTCATTATCCATTATCGTCGGCAGCTATGCCAGCTGCTAAATCGGTTTTTGCGGATTGAGAGAATGCATCGGCTGCTCTTTGGAAGAGGAGTGTACGTACCATGGTATTGCCTAACACTTCATCTAATACGCGAAATCTACCTAGTCAGATATTTTACGCCCAGCGGTCCTTGGTTTCGTGGTGCCATGTTTCTTACGTCTGTTAGAGTACTTATTCTGTTCTATCTGTTCGATGTGAGCATGTTGATTCACCTAAACTTTATTAAATCTACTCGAGCAGAACTCTCATGTCCGGAAACTACAGCGATCACTTTGCATAGTATATTTTGAGCAATTACTGCACTTGAACCACAATTTGCAACAATTCTGTTGGGTCTCCATCACTGCTAGGCTGATCGTGGAGATTATGTACATCATGATCTTCTGCATAGCAGCTTTCTGGACTTACACCTTAACTGGAGATAATATTTATGCATTTAAAATTGCCATCGGTAGTATACTTTTGTCGAATATGCTGCATGTCGTAAATATGGCAAGATGCATCGGTGGAATGGAGTGCAAGATATTAGATAAGTTCCATCTCCATGAGCTACTGCGCTCGCTGAAAAGTCCAAAACGTAGACGAAACAGGCGACTTGAAAAGGTGATTTGTCGTACATTAACATTTTTGAAAATACTTTTAAAAGATTGCTATCTGTATTTTTAAAGTTGGAACAGATCCATTTAAAGCGTTGCACCCTGAAGGAACGTTCGGGCTCAATTTTTAACTACATCTATGTACGGCGTTCACTCAATCTGAAGATCTTGGATTTTATTTTCTCTAATGTAGTTCTGTTGATTAGTTTTAGTTTAAAATATGAACGACCAACTAGTTATTTCTCCAAGCACCATTAAACCATATGATAATCTTAAATATTTAATAACAATTTTTCGTACTGCTATTATAAATTAACAAATTGCAGACCTCTTAAAAATTGCTAGAGGTTAGGCTAAAGAGTAAAGTAACCCAATTCCCTCCATAAGAGTTGCCGTGCCACACTGGGTACAGAGTTAGGTACATCTTATGTGACCCTTTTACATAGCCCAATTTCCTCCACAAGAGTTGCCGTTCCACACTGGCACAGGTAAACTGCACAGAAATAGCTGGGACAATAATAAAATAGTGGTTGCCAACCACCCTTGCAGCAGTCTTGAATGTGAAGACCACAAAGTAAGACATGGATAGAGTTTGTCGCGTTTGCATGTGCTCAAAAGACCTGGTGGATATATTCGCGGAGGGGAAACTGTCTGATTGCGAACTCACCCTAGCGGAGATGTTAAATGAGTGCGTCAAGCACCAAGTGAAGCCGACGGATAAACTTACAAAGAAGATATGCAGGTCTTGTATTTCAGATGTGAAAATAGCTAATAGATTAAAACGCAATGCCGAAAATAGCCATAAGCGACTAAATAATAGTCTACAAGAAACAGATTTGGAAGAATTTATCGAAACGCTAGAAGCAGAAGATTGGGAACTCGTGCCGGATCCAATTAAAAAAGAGCTGGAGGAATTAGAGGTCCATTTAGAGAGCCCACAAGAAAGTCACAGTATAATCAAGAAGAAAAGAAATTCGAAGAACTCATTCAATTGTAATACTTGCGGAAAAATATTCAATAAAATTGGACATTTAATAATGCACATACGTACGCATACCGGCGAACGTCCTTTTAAATGTCCGATATGCCAGAAATCTTTTACCCAGCGATCTTGTCTTACGACACACCAACTTGTTCATACTAGCGAGCGTAAATACAAGTGTCCCCACTGCTCGAAGGACTTCAAGCAAAAACAAGGTCTTGTCAAACATCTGCGCAAACACGTCTTATTGAAAGAAACCAAGAGCATAAAAGAAAGTCTACATATAATTAAAGAGATACCAATCTCAAAGGAATTCAAGTGTAAAACTTGCGCGAAGACATTCAAAACAAATACAAAATTGACTGTTCACACTCGTACTCATACCGGCGAACGTCCTTTCAAGTGTTCGAAATGCCCGAAATCTTTTGCCGACCCATCTGCTTTTAAGAGACACCAAAATGTTCATACTGGCGAGCGTATGTACAAGTGTCCTCACTGCCCAAAGGATTTTACCATGAAACATGGCCTTGTCAGGCATCTGCCCAAGCACGCGTCAACGTAAGAAGTCAAAATCAAATTAGGCAATAAAAATAAATAAAAAATCATTATTTGCAAAGCAACTGTTGAATTTATAATAAATATTTATATCTCAAATAACTAAGTTTCTTATTTTTTTGACTGTGTAACAGAAATTCTGCACCAGCTCTCTAATCAGTTAAATTGCCCTCACAGCACAGTCTTATGGTCCCATGATTGCGTTTCCAGTAAAGATTTGTTTGCAGGTAATCAGACCCGAGCACTGATCATCCTAAAAGACCTGTCCAAAGCAGCTGCCTGCCATAAACTAACCGATCAATTGCTCAGCATGTTGCCCAAAACCACAAATATGATGATACGCCAGACATAAGGTTTACGTATGGGTTGCATAGAATGAGATTATTAAATATTTTTATTGTGCCTGGCTGTGTACATATTGTATGTTTGCTTTAACTGGTTTAGCCACCTCCTGATTTCTCAAATATTTTGGTTCATAAATAAGAATTTAATAAGATTATTAAACATTTATCAATTATAAATATTTATCAACTCTGGAGATTCTAATAATAGTTTATTAGACCTAACTACCCTACGTACAAGTGAACATACGAGTTTTATTATATTATGTATATACCAAATTTTGTTTTTAACTTTCTCATCTATCTCCTTGGGTAAAGCTCAAAACGTAGTTGAAACATATTTATATTGATTTTAGTTAACTGATCATTGCGAAGGCTTTTATTTTTTGGGAACTGGTACTGTGAACAGTGATTTGATTGTATATACACATATCAGCACACTATGTTAAATTAAAATTGTGTTTTAGATAAGATAGATTTTGAAGTAAACGTAAACTGATACCCAACCCAAGCAGCTTTTGTAAACTCTTTTAATTGATAAATGTTGGAAAAGTCACTGACACGTCCGCAATGCATTCGGCATTTAGACCCGTAATGCCAAAGGGATTTGTATTAATATGTATTTTAAATAAAGGCATTGGAATAGTAATTATATTGCTTAAGTGTTAATGTTTTATACTGTTTTATATAATAGTAAACTATATAATGTATAACTGCTTAACATATCATCATGTGATACGTGATTTGCAGTGGTATTTATCATCCGATATTTATGAACATTTTCAGGGCATAAATACGGCACTCCAAGTGTGTGTTAATACCAATGCCAACTTCTTATCTATACGGAAAACAAATAATTAAAATTAAAATATTAAAAAAATTGGTCTGCGTATGGAATGTAAGAATATATTTCGAATATATACTCAGACTAATGTATACTCATGTTATACAACTTGGGTTGATAGCATATACAAAATGTTACCAACTACAGGTTGTGGAGAGCGAAGAGGCGAATTCTCTGCTGGCCTTCGGTAAGTTTTGTAACCCCTTGAAATATCCAGACTTTTTGTTAGGCAACTGAGGTTCGTTAGGTACAAGTTATGTGACCCTTTTACCTAACCCGATTCCCTCCATAACTAAAAGTTGCTGTAGCGCAATGCATTATGTATGCCACGGGGATTTGTTTTGTTTATGAATTTCAAATGAATGCATTGGAATTGTAAATATATTGCGTAAGTGTTAATATTTTACACTGTATTATATAATAGTTAATTATATAACACGTGATCCGTGATTTGCCGTGGTATTTATCATCCGATATTTATGAACATTTTCAGGGCATAAATACGGCAATCCAAGTGTGTGTTAATAGCGCGAACTTTAAAACCATCTTTTTATGAATACGAAAAACGAATATTTAAAAATAAAAAGTTAAAATAAAATTTAAGAAATAAACATAGTTCTGTTTATGGAATGTCAGAATATATTTCGAATATATACTCATACTCATGTATAACAAATACAGGTTGTGGAGAGCGAAGAGGCGAATTCTCTGCTGGCCTTCGGTAAGTTTTTTAACCCCTTGAATTATCCAGAATTTTGATAGGCAACTGAGACTCGTTAGGTACAGGTTATGTGACCCTTTTACCTAACCCGATTCCCTCCATAACTAAAAGTTGCTCTACCACTCTGGCGCAGGTAAGCTGTACTGGTACCTCGGAGCTACCTGGACTTTAAGGAACAACGCATAAATTGTTGGTTGCCAACCACCTTTGCAGCAGTCTTGAATGTGAACACCACAAAGTAAGACATGGATGGAGTTTGTCGCGTTTGCATGAGCTCAGCGGACCTGGTGGATTTATTCGCGGAGGGGAAACTGTCTGATTGCGAACTCACCCTAGCGGAGATGTTAAATGAATGCGTCAAGCACCCAGTGAAGCCGGAGGATAAACTTACAAAGAAGATTTGCGGGTCTTGTATTTCAGATGTGAAAACAGCTTACAGATTAAAACGCAATGCCGAAGATAGCCATAAGCTTCTGAGTATGAGTCTAACGGAAACAGAAGACTTTATCGATATGCTAGCAGCAGAAGATTGGGAGCTCGTCAAGGATATGATTAAACAAGAGGTAGATGAAAGCTCAGAGCTGGAGAGCCCTGTAGAGAGCACACAAGAAAGTCAAAGTACAACTGAAAAGAGTGAAAACTCGACGAAGTCATTTAAATGTAAGACTTGTGGAAAAGCATTCAGAACAAATTCAAACTTGATAAGACACAATCGTAGTCATACTGGCGAGCGTCCTTTTAAGTGTTCAAAATGCTCGAAATCGTTTACTCAGGCTTCTTCACTTAAGACACATTTCACTATTCACACTGGCAGGCATCTGTTCAAATGTCAGCATTGCCCAAAAGCCTTTACTAGAAAATATAATCTACACGATCATCTTAAGAAGCATGGGGATCAAAATGTGATTGAAAAGAAACCAAAGGAGACAAAGTGCAAGACTTGTGGTAAGACATTCAAAAGAAATGAACATTTGATAAGGCACATTCGTATTCACACTGGTGAGCGTCCGTTTAAGTGTCCGAAATGCCCGAAATCGTTTACCCAGGCATCTTCTCTTAAAACACACCAAACTGTTCACACCGGCGATCGTATGTTCAAGTGTCCCCACTGCCCTAATGACTTTACTACAAAACAAGGCCTAGCCAATCATCAGAGGAAACACGTTTCAAAGAACGAATCCAAGAGCACCACAAGAAGTCAAAATATAGTTCAAGACAAAGGGAACTCAACGAAGCTATTCAAGTGTAAGATTTGTGGTTATGCATTTAATAGAAAAGAAAATTTGGTAAGGCACGGCCGTACCCATACCGGCGAACGTCCTTTTAAGTGCCAGCTATGTTCGAAATCTTTTACCCAGAGATATGTTCTTAAGACACACCAAATTGTTCATACCGGCGAGCGTTTGTTCAAGTGTTCCCACTGCCCAAAGGACTTTACAGGGAAACATAATTTAATCAGACATATGCGCAAACACGCTTTAAAGGAAGAATCCAAAAAGAAATTACACAATAAGATTAAAAATAAAGCCAAAAAATAAAAATTATATGTTTTAATAATAGTTGTTGAATTACTAATAAATATATTATATAAATACCTTAAAAATATTATTGTTAACTTCTTTTAACACGACTTTTTCCGTTAGCGGTTGGGCTACTACTTTTTTACTACTCATCTATGGTCGTTACTCGTTACTGCCGGGTCAAATTAATTATTTTGAAAACCCAATTGTATCAAGTTGTCAATTTGGAAAATATGTTTCACCATACTTCTATCCCCAACGCAATCAATTAGTTACAAATCAGATTTGTAAACAACAAAACTGTCATGTTCACTGAGATTCGACCCCGGTTCTTCCCAACGGGCGGTCCTAACACATTCAACGGCAGCATTGCCCCCGTTGTAAATAAGTAAAGGCTGGGTATGAAATTCATTAATGCTCATTTTCATTTTTGTTTACATAAATTGTCTCGCCTCAATTGCACAAAAGAAAACTTTGGTTTATTGCAATTTTACAATTAATATATATTCAGTACAGAAGACTTTAGTCTTCTCAGGGCTTGAACCCTTAATCACGTGATCAGTGTACCTTATCTATCGACTAACTAAGACAAAAAAACCAAAAGAAAAGAAAAAAATTAATTATTATTGTTGATTGCCATTGTCATTTACTTTATTATTATTACCTTTTCCTATTGAGAATAAAAAGTATTGACAATTGCTGATAAAGTTGAACCGGCGAATGGTTCGCTTGTTAATTCAACAGTCGACTGCATTATATGGCAACGTTGCTTATTTATATTAAGTTTGACAACCAATTTCCCTCAAAGGCAAAATGTTCCAAAACTCACAAGGGTCTAGGGTATCCCCCAGTCGATCGCTATGCTGCGAAAGCATTGTGGATTGATTAATGATATTAGGTTAATTTGAATGACAGTTCACATCTATTTTGTGACATCTGATGGTCATTTCTAATTGAAACAAAATTCTAAAGACTAATTTTTGTGCCCAGGTCTGTTTTGTGTTATATGTTTGTAGGGTGGTTGTTAATGTTTATTATGTTGTCAATATTCTGGTAATCCTACTGTGACCCTTTGACTATCGCTCACATTATTTTATACTTATGTTGTACTTTTATGGGCTGATGGGAATTGGTCAATAAAATCGACTGTCATGTCTCAGTGTCTATCAAGATGTACTACCAAACAGTATATCTGTTTCTGCTCCATTGGTTAACCAAACTTTTCGCTATAAATGAATTTAATTTTCAACGCGATAAACAGAAATTTGTGAGATCTGAGTTTTGGAATTTTTATGTAAAAGTGTGGCATTTGTTTTACATTTACCCAATTTGTGCTGTTGGGATCGCGTGCTATTACAGGGAACGCCCGGATCAGGAACTTGACTATTATCGTCTGTCGTATCGCATGATCCAGACCATGTTCGCTTTAAGATATTTTGGAATAGCACTGAGTGGTTGGACAGTCCTGCGACATCACAGCTGCTTACAGAATCTGCTGAATCTCTTTATACTGCTGTGCAAAAGACATCATCAGCTCTTTGGGCGTCAGGTGCATGTTCCTTTGCATTGTTGGATAATCCTATTTTTTCGTGAGCTGTGTCTACTTGTATTAGTTATGAACACAATTCCATGGAGCTACTGGCTCTTCACAATTCACTTTGTTCGCGCCACGATTCTGTTTCAATGGACTGATGTGGCAATGTTGCTTCATCTGCACCTCACGCAATCATTGGCATTACGTTTGGAACAGTCGGACAAAGGGCGCAGTGCAGAGCGACTCCAGTACTTAAAGTACTTCGAGAAATTACTGATTTTGCGTCGGAGCATGCAACGATTGTGCTATGCCTCTAACACTACGAGACTTGCCATAGAAATCTTATTAGCGATTCACTTCGCATTAACGAATTACTGGCTTAAAAAAAAGAATTCTCTGTTGATTGTTGTGCCCCTTAGCCTACTAATGTCAAATATGCTGAATATCATAAAGATGGCGAAATACATCTGTGAAATGGAGCGTGAGATTTTGAATCGTTTGTATTTGGATGAGCTGTACAGATTGCTGCGCAGGCCAAAGAGTATACGTAGCTGGCGAATGGAGAAGGTGAATAACTGCTTAGGTATTAGTTCTCATTACAGTTCCTAAAAAATCTCTTACTCTTTGCTTATGAAGCTGGAGCAGCTACATCTCGAGCGTTGCACTCGCCAGGAACGTGCAGTTACCATCTTCAACTATATATATGAGAGAAACTCTCTGATTTTGGATATTTCCGATTTTCTGTTTGTGAACATACTTTTAGCAATTGGCTGCAGCTTGAAATATGGTTTACCACAGAATGCGCCTTAACACCACAATCAATTATAAATTATTTGCTTATGCAACGTAAATATTTGCACGATTTGTTAAAAATGCAACTAAATATAAATTCACAAATTATCTTCAACGTTTGCACAACAAACAATACTTCACACTTTTTTATTTATCCCCTCTAAAGTCATTAAACTAAACAATTCATCAGACTAGGCTTATAATATATAAAAACAAGTGAAAGCAGTTAACGTCGGTGTACGAACATATAATACTCTTAACCCAAAAAAATACAATTTTGATTGAGAAGCTTTATAATATAATAAGATGAATTTATGCAGATTTTCATTAAGCTAGCTTTAATACTGGCAGACTTTTTTCCATACATATAGGCAGAAAACAAAGGACATGTTTATATTGACTTGATTGTGATTGATCTAGAATATATATGTTTTATGGCATCGAAAACTGCTATACATTGCATGACATAATTATAAAACCCTCTGTAAGGGTATAATAAATTTTCAAATGCATATTAATTAGTTTTAGCTGCAATGACTATGCAAACATATTGTTTATACATGTTTATATTGTGCTAGTTAATGGGATTTCATTATTTCAACCACAAAAATTGTTTATCATTTGTTTTTGGAGCCACTCGATTGTTGATATTTATATGCATGTCATTTAACGAGCCTTCCATTCAAAAGTGCTCTCTCCCATTTATATGTTCGGGTATTGGAAATTGTTTTTCAATGCTATTAAATGGGACAGCAATGTAGGGAATATCAGCAAATTGTATGCAAATTGAGTTGAGAGTAGAAACTGCGAGCACATTGTTATTTCTAATTTCGTTGCATTGGATACGCTCAAGTAAATCGGAAAACAAATTCAAAGTGATTTCAAATGAATCAAAATACGAAAAATGGCTGTAAATTCATAGTTGGAAACAAAGTATTAAAATCGAGTTTGCTTTTAAATTTGTCGATGCACAAAGTGACCAATAAACGCATTATATTGCTGGCAATAGTATTAGACCCTGTGCCGGCATCTCGCCATCTTTCCATGGCTGGCTCGCATTATTTGCACTTGAATGCTTTCATAAAAATGCGCTGCGATTTACCCAGCAGGTGGCAGGTGGCAAGAGGTATGGCATCAACGCACACACACACACAGACAATAAGACAAGACCCTCGCCTAGGTAGTACCACTTGTAATTGCAATTTTCGCGCGCTCACGTTTTCCCTTTTCCTATGGCTTTATTTACACTTGAACTTAAAATGGTGGCACGCGCAGCCACTTCGACGTACGGCTGGTTGGGTTTACACGTGCAGGGTTTGTATGATAACAAAGTCGAAACCAAGGTAACAAATATTTTAATCTTAATTTAGATACAAATTTTTTAGAATTTAATTAGCTTATGCTTGTCATTATTTAACAAATTGCCTGCCGTAAAAATATCCACAACATTCTTACACGGATCTATGCCGGAATCGGGCAGACTTTGTGCTGTTTAATTAATTTTTGTAATTAATTAATTAATTAATTTTTGTTAAGTCGATTCAAGCTATATTCTTTAGTGCTAATAGTATAAAATTGTTAATGATAAAATAATAATAAAAGAAAATAAAAATTTAATAATATTCATATTTATTTAAACAATAAAATAATAAAATAAAAATAATAATAACTACATTTTATTACAAGAAAATATACTATTTAGCTTATGAATTACCCACGGTAGCAGTTTTAGAAGAATTGTTTATTTAAATTTACATTTATCTTTTAGATTAAACGGATTTAGTATCTTCCTTTAATGAAAATACAGAATATTTTATGGAACTTTAATATGTTATAGCATATTTTATTGCAACGTTACATTTCCTGAAACGTGCACATATAAACCTTAATAAAGACAGACTAGCTCGTGTATCTTACTTGAAACGAGAGTTATTCTGCACCTAGCTACCTCATTCCCATTCCGTTTGTGTCCGGACAACCGATTTGTAATCTCTGAAATAATTTTTTCAGACACCACAAACAAAGCGATTGCAGTTTAATGCGAGATCTGGGAAACATTGTGTGCGATTGCGATTTAAAGAACATTAAAGCCATTTAAGCTGAGCCCTTGATTTGGAGTCGATAAGGATAATATTTAGAGAAGGTGCATTTAGGCAAAACCAAATCACACTTTTGTCATGCTCAGTTGTTGGCTTTTTTGGTGCTGGCAATATATCAACTAGATGGATGTTATTTGATGCCCTCTTTCCGCTGGCACCCTCCTCAATCGAGTTTAGAGCTCTTTACATCAATTACTTTGAATGTTTTGTGGCTCTTCAGGAGCAGCAGTACCATCTGGCTGGTTGCCCCTTTCAATTGAACAAATGCGAGTTGGAGCACTGCAAAAGGCACATAAAAGGGCAAGGACCTTGAAGTAGGCGAAGTAGGGGTATGTGCAAACAGTACAGCAGGCAGTCGGGCAAACAAATTCGCGCCATGTGAGGGTTCTGTGGCTGCCGTGGCTTTTTATGGTCGCTGATTTCATTTCCACGAGCTGGTTTTTGTACATTTTTCTTTTTTTTTTTTTTTTTAATTTATCCCGCGTTGCTGGTCAAAAGCAGTTGGCCAAGCATATAAATTAAATGATGGTCCAGCATTGAGCGATTGAAATTAGGCTATCCACAGCTCGCCACTTAATGCCTGAATGCAGCTCTCGCTCTCTCTGTCGGCGCTTTACGATTGCATTCTTTATGATGCTTTTGCTATTAGATTCCCAAATTAGGGAAATACTTTGAAGCCGTATCTCTTCTGAGCTCAAGAGTGTCTGCTAAGCATTTACAAGCACACTTTATGATTTTTCAGCCATGCCCTACGATTTCTCAGTATATTGTGCCTAGCGCTGGAGTGTGCGCTACGATATTAAATAACATTTAAATCAGAGTAGCCCATTTATCATGATATAAATGCATTGGAAAAAATGCTGACATTTTGTTAGTCATTTGGCCAAGAATTAAAAAGAAACAGCCAACAACATCTTTAGAACCCACTTTGGGCTTTAATATTCTATTAGCAACACAAATTATAAATGCTAAGACAAGCTAAGATGATAACAACGAATGTTTGTGACTTAGGCCTGAGGTAAATACAAGCAATGAATAACAATTTTCTATGAGCCCAAAAGTTTTAACTCGAACACGCAAACTTTATAATTGCCCCTTGGAAACGACCTGTTGCAATTAGCAGTAGGCCAAATGGCTGCCACTTGTGGCACATTAAAACTACAATATAATGGCCCGACATGGCACTTTGTTCAGCGTGTGGCAATTTAACGGGGTGGCTTGAAAACTCTGCTATCAACCGGTAAACGCGTCCTTGGGCTGAAAGCTGCCTAACCAGCCGTTTGAGTTGGGCGTTTGCTAAGGGTCCAGGCATTGTGATCCCAGCACGTGCAGTGTCAAAAAATTTGCCAGGTACTTAGTGCCTTGATACGCTGACCTGGACAACGTGGCAGGTGTTGTGTCAATCCTTGGATGCCACGAATGTCGCCTGTCAGACATCAGCGGCGACAACGAATGTCAACACGAGCGTACATCAGCATGTTGTTGCTGCTGTCGATGTCGTCGTCTCTATTACAGCTGCTGTCAAAGCAGCATGCACATATTGAAAGCGGATGCGGCGGGGCTTAGATGCGGGGTACGTTTCATTCAGTGTGTGCAGCTATGCAAATGATGCGCAAACTTCAAAGGGTACGGCAGTCAAGAAATGGCTAACAAAGTATAAACCAGAACGAGACCTCACCCAGCAGCAGCAGCAGCTGCAAAATTCTTCTGGGAGCGGGCAATAAGCGACCTGTCGTCCTGCTGACTTAATGCTTGGTTGGCTGGCAAAAACGCATGCCAGCGGAAATTGTTTAACAAAAGCAGGAAATGTTACACACATTCAATTACATAGACACGCTACGCTCCCGTCTCCCACATTTGTATGTATTACGTATACGCAATGTATGCCCGCGTTTCTTGCGGCATGTTGACAACACTTTGCAATTGGGTTAATTGTACATTGGCTCGCTCTGACTCGCTAATGCAATGCGAACTGTGCGCGTGTATGTGTGTGTGTTTGTGTGTGTGTGATGCAACAGCTTTTCAAATGTGGGTCATTGGGGTAGTGTTTAGGTTGAGCTGAAAGCTAGATGATGGGCGTTGGGTATAACTCGCTCGAATGCCTTTCAATTGCTGCCCATAAAAATGAACATTTAAGTGCGCAAAATGCTTGAAATTTCTAGATATAATTGCAGCCACCACGTCCCCAGAGTGAACTAGACAAATGCTCGTCAATAATGTCACTCATCCAGTTGTTGGGTATCATCCCCGACAACCACTCGTCACTCATGCATGCTCCACGGCACAGACAATCCCAGTCCCAACACGTGCGGGTATCATTTGCCGCTTATACGCCACTTGATAGCTGCTGGCCTTGTCTCGCCGTCCTGGAGCTACACAGTTATGGCTGGTCTCTCGACCCTCTCTGCCATAAATATGCAAATATATTACGTGATTTCTTGCAGAGATTCGCTCATAAAGCAAACAACTAGGCGAATGATGCAGCAAATGGAATTTGCACAACTAAAACTATCCCTGAAAATGGATATGTAAAGCACGTTAAAGCTTGACCGACTATTCGATGCTCTGCTGCCCAGTTGAGCATAACTGTCTTAAGAGTTTAAAATTTATTTGTAATATTAATATTTATTCGCTGCTTACAGCCCACAGTTAGCTCTAGTTAAGCGGGCGCATAGATATGTATATTCTGCATATTCCATTGATGGACGTGGGTAAATATCAGCAATTAAGTCGCATTAAACATTTGCTTAACCTTAATGTTCATGCCTTGCAATTATATGTTAATTAGCACGTTGTTGCATTTTATTTTTGAATAATAATTAAAACACATTTAATGAGGCCGCAAATTTGCATAGTTAATGCAACATGCCACGCCCTCAAGGCCGCGCAGCCTGCTGCCGATGAATGCTGAATCAAAGGCTCACAAAAAATTGTTTCGACGGAAGTCATTTAAAACACATTTCATCGTCTGATTTTGCACAAAGTTGTCGTTCGTACTGCGCGATGGGTGGAAAGAAGAGCGAGAGAGAGAGGGGGGGGGCTGTGTTGGGTGCTTTCATTTGGCATATGCCGCCTGTAATTAACATTCAGCATACATTAAACAAAATGACGTGTAATTTAAAATGAATTAATGAGCCAAGCAATTTATATATATATTTACTTAAGTCGTACCCAAAGACGACAAAAGTCGAGCAGGATGGCAACCAGGGCGTGGCACAGCTGCCATTGTAAATTTGACACGTAAATGCAAATGGCCAGCAAATGACAGGAAGGAAGTTGCACTCCAGACTTAAGCACCCAATGCAGGCAGCCAACGAAATTTAACGAGCACATAAAAAAAAGGACTGCCAATTTAAATTAATTATTGACTCTGGATTTTAATAATGCTCGCTAAGCTCTTTACTGCCCAATCAGCTCTTGACTGCTTGGCACATGTCAAACATGTGGAACACCTTCAACTCTATGTAGGGCAGCATTTATGACTGCATTTTCCATCTTTGTAATTCCAGCAAAATTTGGCTCTGCAATTTAATGGGTGTGCTTAAAGCTGGCGCAAAATGGTCCACAATCTGCAGACCCATACACTGACTGCAGTCAGTTTACTTACAAGCTATTAAATCGCGCATCGAAATATGTGGGTGGCAGGCAAGAAGTTTGCGGCTGCTGTTGCTGTTGATACTGTTGATGCAACTTTTTAACGCATCAACTTAATGTGCTTCAGCTAATTTGCTTTTTATTAAGAGCAACGCACGTCACACGCCTTTTTAAGGCGCCAAGTGACGAGCGCAGCTTGGTGGCTGCTCTGGTGGCTGCTCTGGTGGGTTGCTTGCTGTCAGCATTCGACAGAGGTGAGGCCGTGACGTGGTTTCCACTGGAACGTGTCCGTGTCGCACTGTATTCGAAGCCAAACAACATGTACATGTTTATTATGCTGTAAATGTTGTAAATAAAAGAAGACCGAGCGGCAAAGATTACAACTTGTACGACTTACAAAATACCCTATACAGCAACAACTTACGCCTTTTTGTTGTTATAAAGATTTGAAATTTCTTGATACACCTAATTTGTATCTTCTATAGTTTATATGTTTTGCCGTTTTACAAAAATCTCAATAGTTTTATCTAAGGAACAAAATTGAACTTGTTTTTTCAGCAGTGTTTTCATCCAAACTGAGGGTATTTCTGCATATTTACGTACAATATATTGTGGCGAAGCTTGGCAGCTATCTGCACGGAGCTCCCCAGGAAGTGCGTGCGAATTCCTGCCTTCGCCTGCCCGCTGTTTTAATGCAGTTTCCGTTTGCTTATGGCTCAAGCCTACAAGCCCGCAATGCGTTTAAAATTGTTAACGGCGCTTAAATAAAAAATTTATGGTGAGGAAAAGCCAAAGTGGCTTTTAAAATTAACTGCATTAATAAACAGTGAAGGCTGACACAAATATTTGTGCGTCTGTTGGAATTACTAGCGCAAATATATGACAGAAATGAAAAAATGTACGCGGATTAAGGATTTGGTGCAACGAGCGAGAGCAACACCGGGGTTAAATGCGATTCCATTTTCTATTCAAAAAGAAAATAAATATAATATCAAATCGAAATATTTTTCAAGTAAATACCAGACATTTATTGAATTTTTAGAAGACTCATAAATAATCTTTATTCAATAGCCACATATTTATTTTCGCTATTGCGCCATCAGAATTTCCAGCTACTCATCATTATCATCATTGGCAAGATCATTATTGCATTGCCAATTGAAATATTAAGCATACGCCGCATAGCCGCTGCCAAATGGCTTATGGCTAATTATTTATAAAATCAACACACATCAACACACTCACACCCACACACACTGCGATGCATGCACACTGGGAAGCACTTCGGAACGTATTTAGCGGTTTTGACGTCACAAATGTATTTAAGAATCCATTGACACATTCATAAATTGATGGCTGATTTATTACCAATAATTGCTTTTGATTGCTTTTGTTGTGGCTGTGTGTTTCTTTCTATTCGCAGAAGATGCAAACACTGCGCCCATAAACAAGGCGGCAAAAAAAAACAAACAAATTCGCATAATTTGTTTATAAACAAATGCGCATTAGACATAAAAGCATACTGCGGCGAACATCAGAGGTAACAGAAAGCGATTGGCGAAAGGCATTAAAAAACAATTATAATAATATTAATTAATAAATACTCGCACTTCCAATTTCAATCAAAGCCAAATTCACAGCATTTCAATAACATAATACTAACAGAGTTCCGACAATAGGCCACTGGCCACCCACATAGATTCCTGCTGTTAAAGGTAACATTAACAGTGCTGGAAATCGACTCCGAAACGATTCGGCTTCGGCTTCATAACAGCGGCCCGATGTTCCTATTGCTGTCTCTATCTCTCTCCCTCACACAGCGTGTCGTCGTCATTGTTCTGCAAGCGTATCGAACATACACACTCACATACACGCACATATTTCAAACAGCTGTTTGGCGTGGGCCTGGCAGAGCATCATTAGCATCATCATGATCATTAACAGTGACAACAACAGAGCGCGCACACACAGATGATGTTAGGGCCAGCGGCTTCTTTCACGGCTTCAGTCGTTGCCTGTCAACAAAGCGCTGCGCACGTGTGCAAAGGCGGCGCTCGGCAAAACGTTTTCCCTCAAATTACCAAAGGCAAACGCGCAAAGTCGGAAAAGTTGGTTTGTGTATTTGGTTACGACTAACAATCAGTGGAAAATCATGTTTTATGTGTTCGTGCAATCATAATAAATGAATAAATAGAACAGCAAATATAACCAAATGACGTGGAAATTGTGGTAAATTAAAAGCTAACCATTTGTTGGAGCGTGAAATTCAAATAAACAGTCGAGTGACGATAGAACAATAAGCCATACGCAAACGACAAAAGGCCAAAAAGTTTTTCAAATTAACTAATAAAATGAGCTTAAATAACATTTAAACAAAGTTACTTTTTGATGTTTTTGAAAACAAGTTTGTTATACTGATAAGCGACTTAAATAAACACAACAAGTACGGCCACAAAAGGAAAATTTAAAAGAAAAATTACAATAGACACGGAAGAGAGAGAGGTAAATATTTATTATTTTCACAGAACAATAAATCTGCTTGAACCTGAACTCAGATGCAGAGTTTATCAAAACCCCAAAAAACAGTTAGCCAACCCAAAACAAAAAAGTGTCAAATTTATGCGAAGCGGTAAAACGAAACTGCCGGAAATTTATATAGCTTATGAAGGGAAAAAGCTCCAGAACAAAAAACCCCCACACACAAGTGCACACTTCAAGGATCTTTATTTGCCTTTGTAATTCAATGCCAATTCTAAGATAGTAAAGAAAGAAACTTTCTTCTCATTCTTTGTTTACTTTTCCATAATTACGCGATAAACAATTTTTTATCGCATTCGAATTTTCTTCGTTTCATTTACTATTGTTATGAATAGAGGTTTTAAACTATTTATAGTTTTCCCACAATTGAATTTATGAACTACTTGTGCCGATTGCATTTATATAATCCGAGGGATTTTAAATATGTACACTTCATATTTATCTAGTTTTCTTCTATAAATTCTATAGACTGCATTTTTAATTTGACTAAACAAAATGTTGCTAAGTTAAATTAAATTCGAATACCATAACAAAGCCTAGCTAGACTCTTACAAACTATGCAAAAGAACAAACGATGCCTTTTACATACCTCAGGAAAGCCCGCCAGCAGTGCCAAGTCTTGACTTCAATGCGTTTGTTCTGCTATCAAACTCATAAACCTACAATGCGTGGATTTTGACAGTTCTCGTATGTTGAATTTGTCAAAAGTCCAAAGTCAAAGTTGAGAGTAGGGTAAAAAAATCATTCCATTCAGCTGCTACTGAAGGAAGCTGTTGCCTCTGCAGTGGCTGTTTGATAAAACGTTGCACACTTTTTGGGGCACACTGCCAAATTGCTTAGGGAACAGCCCCCACTCGGTGCAAAGCCACAATGGGGCGTCAAGCAGAAAAGACAAGTTAAATTAATAAGCACGTCAAGCGAGAGAAGGAGAAGAAGCAGATATAAGTGAACTAAGTATTAAAATAGTCAAATAGAGAAGCGGACAAATTGCCTGGGGTTTGCTAAACGCAAAACCGCAAAGTCAATGCTGATAATTAAATGTAATTATACAATGTTTGTATTGGTTAGTTTCTCTGTGTGTGTGCGTGTCCATTTTATTGTGGTGTGTGAGTAATGACGTACTTATGAAAAGCAACAGCGACGGCGTAAACAAAATAAATTATAAATTATTATATGGAAATCTAAATACTCTTACCAAAAGTCGATGTCTTGTAAGCATATTCGAAAGATATTGTTAGATATGCCCAACTAAAAAAGCAACAGAAGCTATGTTATACAAGCAATTTAAAACGAAAAAGGCTTTTTAATTACGAGCAATAAATTACAATCTATTTGATAGGCTCCGTTTGTAAAATCGGAACAGCTCGGTTTACCCTGCCGGCCTTGTGTGTGCGGCCACGTAATTGAATTGCAAAAACATGTGGAGCATCAACATGAACGCGACCCGATATCTATAGCTGTGTGTATATCGGGGCATAATGTGCGCCTAATGTCAGATAAGAGCTTATAATAATGACGTGCAGGCAACGGCCTACCAAACTTTCGGTTGGCAGCGGCAAAGTCAATAAAATGTAATTAAATCGACATTGTTATCAGCAACACACGCCCCACACACACACAAATACACATAAGCCCACACATGTACGCACACACTAATAGTGTTAGCCTCTGTTTTATGCATTAATTTTAATAGAGACTTTGGCTCCGGATTTTGCCAAATTTTTGTTTGTCAATGGGTTCATTATTTGGATGTTAGAAAAATGTGTTTTATTTTTTGATTGTGGCTATTGCTTTTATAGAGTATACACATTATTGTCGCTGGGCTTATGTGACATTTTATTTATTTTTATAAGATTATGATAAATTAAAGCACACAAAAAAAACCAAGACATATTGTCATCAGAAATCTAGGCTAGGCTAATTACTTTATTTATCTAGAGTCTGTATTCCGAATGGAGATCAATGAAGGGTAAGAAAATAAAAAATTAATAAGTACTAATTGAAGAAAATAACAAGTTCAGCTTAAGGCTGCGTATGAAGAGAAAGTTTTGGTTAAGAGTTGGCAAGCCTGTTAAAAAAAAAATAATAATAATATTAAGCAAGGCCATTCAATAAAGGCAGTTAATACCAAAGCCATGAACGGAAAATCGGCGAAACTAAAAACTAATTTATGCGCACAATGCTCTCGAAAACTGCAACAATTTCCAATGGCCGGGCCAACTTGGCCGTAACTTGTACGCCGTGATGGGAGCAGGTCTGCCAACTAGTTTTGGCAAGCGGTAAATGAGCGGCGGCAAAGTTTGCACTTCAAACGAAATGAAAATGCTAAAAAAAAAATATAAATTAAAGTGAGCAGCAGATGGAGAAAAAAGAGCACAGAGCTCGTAAGTAGCTCATTTCCATTTACCTTTTGCTGCCGTTATTCAAATCTTTGGCAATTCGCCGTAAAATACACTTCAGCAACTGCTCTTTGAATTTGATTAACAATTTTCCAGCGCGGCTATCAAAAGTTGGCTATTCACGTTACGAATGTTCCGGGCAACCCCTTGAAACCGAACCCCGTTGATTTTAATTGAAATTGCAGTCAAAAATGGGTTAAAAGAAAAAGTTAAGTGGCCCGGCAAAGCCTCGCCGAAAAAAAGGATGCCCAATTAAATGAAAACTTTTGTCTTTACGGTAATTTGATAATTTAAAGGAGCCTCCATTGACGCCTTATCCAGAGATACCATTTACGGATTTGCCGCCTTAAAAAGGCAGCCCAAGCTGAATATCGCGGCAGCATAAATCCTTAAAAAGAATTCTGTATACACACAAATCTGTTAATATGTATATGTCTTTGTGTGCGCACAGCGCACACAGTATACTTGACTACAAATACCATTATTCAGTCATATATCCGAGCTGTGGAGATGGCTCTTGAGTGATTTGCATTTTTCAAGAACTACTGCAAATTGCATAATTCGATATACAAACAAAGCTCTGCCTGCAATCGTCAGTTCGCCAACAAAAGTCTCTCAGTCGTTCAGTCCGTCTTCATTCGCCCACTTGCCGCATACCAACTTGTGAACATACGTGCGCACAGTAATCCTTCAGTCCAGTCGGTTTCTGTGGAAGTTTCATTACATAATTGCCATCTGTTTGAAGTGCAATGCACTTGAAGAAACCGAAAACCCAAAAAGCTTGCCATGACTGGTGAGTTTTAAGGCTTTAAGCTGGACCCAATCACAAATTGGCTATTACTTTGAAGCAGCCAACCTCAACAGTAATAAGTGACTATAAATATTGGAGAAATCTTCATTATCAACATCAACCAATGCCGACATTTCAATTAGCTTTTGAGGCAACATTTTGTGGCATTCAACAATTCCTTCACTTATGGCGACGGTTGTGGCAACACTTGCTGCGTCATGGGCGTGACATGTCGTAATTTCTCCGAAAACGCGTCTGAATTGCGGCTATGTAAGACAGAATTATATTTAATTAAAGGTTTTTTATAAGGACTATTGGACCTGAGGAGAAGTAGACGAGTAGAGTGGGACAGCTGTTAGCAACTGACAGCAGTGTAATCTATTCTAGGATTGTATTGTATTCGCAATTCAAAAGCTCTAGGTCCGTCTAATGTTATTAGTAAGAATTGCTCTTCTAAGGAACTTTCATAACTTCAAGTATCATAAACATTCTTATATATCATTGATTAATTGCAATATAATATATGTGCTCCTCATCTGTCATATCTGAAATACCTTTAACTCTATATTGCAGCCACAGCGAGTTACTCACTTATATTTTAATCGGTCTTTCTGGCTTATATTTGATTGTTTTCTTACTTTACTTGAAATTCGCATTCTTTCTTCGACCTGGCAGCCGATCTCATTTGTTTTCACTTGAAAGAATCTAACAAGATGTAGTTATGTTCATCGATGCGAACGTCGAATGATTTACATTGACACTTGGCTCTAAGTCAAAGTTGGGTCTAGTGAAACCACTCTTTAAGTCCAGGCCCAAGTCTGGGGCATGCAACAAGTGCTTGAGTCGAAGAAAATTTATCGATGCTAAAACTTGCTTTCAAAGTGAATTACGACAAGTTTGTCGTAGAGCTCGCCTCATGCCCCAAACCTTGCTGCCAGGTTTTTCTTTTTATTGCCAGCGCGGCAAACACAAATAACCGTATGGAGAGTCATCGGCCCAGGCCGTCGGACAGTCGAGTAAGATAAATGTCTGGAAGTTGGCCAAGGAAGAGGAATTTTCAAGCTTGAGCGAAGCAAGGACCGAATATGAAAAAAATGGTAAATGGAAGCAAAAAGCGTTGTCGGAGTAAATTTAATTGGTAAGTCGTTTGACTAATTGAAAAGTTGTAAGTTCGAAGCACGAAAATAGAAAAACTTCTATCCGGAGAATTTCCGAACTAAACTTGTTTGTCGGACAGAAGAAAACTTGCACATAAACAAGTTTAAATATCTATGGCGACAAAATTAACAGATTCCACTTAATGACAGCTACTTCAGACACTCTTACTCATAACTCTTACCCAGCGCTAGCTATATTCGCCAGTATATCTGTAACAAGATTAAGTTATTACGTGGCAGGCAACAGAAAATCTATAAAAATTGCCATATTGATTTATTAACCTAAGATACTGTTATAGCCGCTCATGTTAGTCGTTTCTCAAAGCATGCTAACTAGCTTATGTTTTCATAGCCAATTTATGAGTCATACGAAAAAGCAGCCTATTATTTTTATTGCATTCATGTTTTACTTAAGCTTCACTTGGCCAAAGAGGGCTCGTAAATTGGCCAAGTTATTTGGGCACGCACATGTTTGAAAAGTCATATATTTTCGTCACAATTTCCAATGATCTGCATATCGGAGTTGGCTACAGTTTCCATTTCCGTTGCTTTGACGATTCTGACCCTCCTATGTTTTTTTATACCCTATAAAATTTGTGACCCATGGTGTGTGAGTTT